TACCCCGGACGAGGTCTACTTTCAGGTAGTTTACTAGCTCTGTAACAATCTGTTGCTCTAGGTTCAGGCAGCAAGTTTCTGGTGCGGTTTCTATACATATCAGGGGCAGACAGTTGAACCTTTAAATCAGCAATTTGTCTCTTTAAGTCAGCAATTTCAGTTGCTTCTACATCACTTTTAATTTTTGGAGTGGCTGTAGTTTGCATGGCTGTAATCTGTGCCTGTAACTCAGTGACAACATTTCTCAGCTCACTCACTTCATCTGGTTTTGCATTTTTTTTCTTTTCTTTCTGGCTTGAATGGTTTTGCAGTGCAACAACTTGAGTTTGGAGTTCACACACTTGCTTTGCGAGAGATGTGTCAGTTTGATCATCCTGCGTTTCACATTGGTGGGCAGATATCTGTTGAGCTGACAGTCTGAATTTCGAGGGGGCAGGATAGTGTTTATTTAGCCCTAAATGTTTTCTCATTCTTTCTTCTTTAGAGGCATTTTTATCTTCTTCTGTACGGATGAGAACTACTAATTCTGCAAATGAAGGAGGAGTGGCTTTTCTCCTTTCTAATTGAAGGTTAGCAATGAGGGAACTGTCCCAACAGCCGCGACAAAACTGCTTTAGAAGATATCGGTTTCTCTCTTCTTCAAATATCCCACCTCGTCGAATAGCTGTGCTTAAGAGTACTTGTAATCTGTGCAGGTAAGTTGAAGGCTTCTCACCATTGTTTTGGAAGCTATTCATAAATCTGGCTAATAACTCATCTCCGTCTTCTACAGAGCCATATACATACTCCAGCAATTCCAGATATACTGCAGGTAAACTGTTAGGGGAGACATGTTTAACAATATCTGCAGCAGGGGGAAGCAGACTGTCTATGATTTTTCTAGCTCGATTTAAGTCAGATATAGAAGGATCTGTCAGTAGGAGATCAACACTGGCACGCCAAGTGTCAAAATCTGGCTCATTAACAGGTCTAGGAATTTTTCCAGAGAAAGATCGGAGGCGAAAAGAGGTATGGTGCATTGGAGCTGTTTCATTTGTGCGGACAATGTGCTCAACTACTACCTTTTGCACGCTAGGAGGATCAATTATATCCATGGTAAGTGCTGGATGGGATGACACTGTTACTGTGGGTTTAGTACTTCTATGGTTAAGGCTTTCCTTGGACAGGTTTTTTGAATTTGTTGACTCAACTTCATGAAATGGTGAAATTCTAGATGAAGGAAAAGCTGTTTGTTCAGTAATCATACTTTGTGATATGACTGGGGACAGCAGTCTATTTGGTGAACTAACTGTGCTACGATCAAGTATTTGAGAACGTGCTGCATTTGGAAATTCAAGCTTTTTATCCAAAACAGGTAGTGACTCAGCATGAGAAGGACCAAATTTAATCTTCAGTAACTCTGTTTGGAGTACTTCCTCAATGGATTTCCCACTAAAACTAGCAATGTTTTGCAATTCCTCCAGATATCCATTAGTAGCACTATCACTAGCAATATGGGGGTAAACGCAGCTTAAAGCACGTACCATGAAAGTGGTACTTGGGTTTGACATACTAACTACAGTTAAAGGCAAAAGAGGCATCAATGTTTTCATCGCGGAGTTATGTGTAAACTCTATGATAGCATGTCGATGAAACTCACAGTCAGGGTCATCAATTAGAAGATGTCGGTTAATACTACCATATCTTAAAAGCCATGACTCTAAATCTGAGTCTGCCTCAGTCAGTGTCATTCCACCCACAATTACTGCTTTTGAGATATTTACATTCTCTTTTTCTATGATATCCATGACGTTAAAGTTCTCTCCGATTTGTAATATTTATAGTGAACTCGAATACTGTAATTATACACTGTTGTTGCAATCTCTCTCCTGGCTGGCTCTCGCCACTTTTTGATATGTAACCCTCGGTACACAAATGTATTATAAGCTTTTAATCAATGGACCAGATGCTCAGAAGTCTAAATTCCTCCAAAGAGAGAGAAGATACAACAACAGTGAAGGACTCGGACACAGAGGTAAGAATATTAAAAGATTGTATTGTAAAATGTTCACAGAAATATAAAATAAATAAATAAATAAAAATAAATAAATAAAAATAAATAAAACAAATTCTAGATTTTTTCACACTTATCTAATGACCTAAATCTTATTTACACTCTCTAATAACACTTCTCTTTCTTCACAGGCTATATCACTAATAAGGTAAGTTAATATTGTTGTTTTTCTGTTTTTTCTATTGTTAAGGCTAATATTATATTTTGGTTACTATTATAACAATAATATAATATTAATATGCTAATAACATTACTATATTAAAGGTTTGCAAGTGTAAGTTAATAATACAATATTAAAATTGTATTATTATTTAACATATAATCAAGATTTCCCTTCTTAAATCAGTTAACCTCTCTCTATAAAGATTCAAAAATTTCAACGAATGAACACTCTAAAGGAACAATGTACAAATAAAATAAAAATGAAAATAAAACATTCACTTAAAACATTTCAAAATGTTCCAAAAGTCCAGTAAAGGTGATAAACTTTCAAAAAGATTCTTTTGCAAAACAACTAGGTTGCAAATTCAGTTCCAGAGATCCAGGATGTTGCACTTGTGAGTGTGTTGTAAATTTACACTCCTACCATGACGTTGAATAGGTTTTACTTTGTATCTTTTCAACAGGTGTATCCAAAGAATCCACTCAATGGGAGGCTCGCCAGTCCAACTCCACAATGAGACACGCCGATGGAAGTTGAGACAATCCAAATCCAGAAAAGAGTTCAAACTTCAATTAATTCGAATCCAGAGCAGATCACATCCAGCAACTGACGTCAATAGAACATCTCACCGATGAAAAACCAGAAGAAGATGCACAAACGAACAAAACCAAACAAAAAAAAAAAACCTGGCCTTGAAAACACAAGGCCAAAGAAACCATTAGCATTTTACAGTGAATGCATTAACTCAGCTTAACACATTTCTAAATAAACAGCAACAGTAAATAACCATGTATATGCTTCTCTCTGCTGAATTTCTGTGTTTTTCCTATTTCTCTCTCCTATTTGGCATTTTCTTTTTATAAATGACAGCATTTTACTCTTTCACTTAAACTTTACACAATCACTTGTATAATACTCTGTATAATACTTTGAGTTTACTAGACCAGACAAATGGTTAATTAATGAAACACATTTTTTTGACACTAGTTTAAATCATGTTATAATGAATACAATAATAATTAATAAAAACACGAACTCACCAAGGAAACATTCAAAATCAAAGCGAAAAAAATAGGAAAACTCCAGGTGGCACTCGTGTGCAGATTTCACTCTCAGAAACAAATCTTGTTTTTTTCTTCTCTCAATCCTTCATTAAAAATATATAATTGAAATCATGTCAGCATCTTATTAATGGTCAATTTTCACAGTTAATACGCATTAAAACATTAAAAGATGTAAATCTAATAGTTATATTACTTTTATTAATATAACAACTTACATCTCTGCTTTCCCTTGCGAACACTGAATCACCATAGCAACGGTAAACACAAGCTAACAGACAAGCGAGATTTGTTATTGTTTGGAAAGCTGATCTGCTGCTATAGTGTAAGGCACGATGATGTCATTCTAAAGCACTATTCCCTTGAATGCTGTATAATACTCTATTATAAATTATTTATATAAGTAAATAATTTTAATGTATATTATTTAATCGAGTATTCTGCCAATGTTTTTTCCTCATATTTCTATTTGCTCTATTGCTGTATACTACCCACTAGTAACCTGGGTTACACACATTTACTGACCTCCTGGAGTGCATTACTTGGACTTTTGATGGTTTAAAAATGTAGGGAATAATTGATGATAAGCCATTGAATTATTAGAAAATAATGTACACCTGAGGAGGCCGAGATGTGAAGTCTCCTGTTGTGTTTTGATGTGATTTTTGACTGTAGTAGCTGTAAAATAATGATTCAGCGTAATGATATAGAGCTGTAATGCACTCAAAACCTGCCGGAACTACTTTAGCTGTATGTTTATCTATAAATAACTGCGACCTAATTATGATCATCAGCCAATCAGAATCATGCATTCAACAGCACTATAGCATAGATTAATAACAATGCGTAGTATTGCGAACATCACCTAATATTCATTACAGTTGCATTTCCGCTGAGGTTTTCAGTCATTCGTGGTGTTTTAAAGTCTCAATATTTGCTCCTTTACACTTTTTATTTTTTAATTTGGTTCAAAATAAAGATGTAATATGTTTTTTCTCATTGACCATAACGGATGTGCCGTGCAAATACACATTTGCTGACCTCCTATAATGCAATACTTAGACTTTTGATGCTTTAAACTCTGAAAAAAACGTAAGGAATAATTAAAGATGACCAATTTAATTATTAGAAAATAATACACACCAGAGGAGGCCGAGATGTGAAGTCTCCTGTTGTGTTTTGATGTGATTTTTGACTGTAGTAGCTGTGAAATAATGATTCAGCGTAATGATATGGAGCTTTAATGCACTCAAAACCTGCCGGAACTACTTTCGCTATCTGTTTATCTGAAAATAATTGCGCATCTTATGTTCATCAGCCAATCAGAATAATGCATTCAACAGCTCTATAGCATAAATTAATATCAATGCGTAGTATTGCGAACATCACCTAATATTTATTGCAGTTGTATTTCCGCTGATGTCTTCAGTCATTCGTGGTGTTTTAAAGTCTGAATATTTGCACTTTGACACATTTTTTTTATTAAATTACCTCAGAAACATGTTAATTACCTGTGTATTTTAGTATGATTATAACATAAAAATTGCTAGTAGTTGCAAATTAGTTCTCAAAAACAATATCACATACTGTCCCGGTGTTGTGCAGCCCAAGATTATTATGACATGACGCTTCACTGGAAGCAGCCTCATCGAAAACTAAGTCAGCATGCAATGGAGTCCAATGCCTTAGTCTAATTAGTAAGTGTTCTAATTGGTCATATTACCTGATACATCTAAATGTTCCAGATTGGGACACTTGGAGACCACATCAAACACCGCGTCATTGGACACATTATAGCAGCCTGCCACCTCCAAACACCTCAGCTCCGGACAGCAGCGGGCGATCACTCGCAGCCCACGATCGGAGAGTCTCCGGCAGCCGCTGGCCACCACCGTCTCCAGGGTCAGACACACGTTGGGAGTATCCTGACACAACCGATGAGTGAGCACTTTTAGCGCCCGATCAGCATTTAGCAGTTCTCCATTTAGGCGAATGGTACTCCACAGCCGCGGGTCCCAGGATAGGTTATACCAGCGGCGGCAAACTCGAGCGCAGAGGCACAGGTGAGGAGTGGACAGGTACGAGAGGATGTGCAGTAAAACAGGATCGGGAAGGATGTCGATTAAGGCAGTGTGAGGGGGTTTTGTAGACTTTGAGCGAGTGGCTGGAGGAGGGTGAATTAATGCCACTGTTTCCCCCAGAGAGGATTCACGGCCGTTGGGGACGGTTTGAGGAGGGTTTGGGTTCAGGATGAGGGCCGGACTGGGAGTCCTCATGCTCTGGTCTGAATCTGAATGGGAAGAGAGAGAGAGAGAGAGAGATCTAAATTATTTCAATGATATTTAAATATGGCATTAATATGACACTATGCTAGCATTATATATGCTTGCTATGCATGTCAAATCACTCCAGTAAATTGAATTGAGTCTTCAACCCATAAATGAACGTTGTAAAGCCTAAAAACACAAACAGTTAAATGTAGATTATGCAACCGATGACTTTAACTACAATCTTGCGTAGGTCACAGCGAGGATGAAGGGGTTTACTGTGTAGATTTCCTTTCAGGGAAGCGGTTCATAAGCCTGTCATAAAATGAAAGATAATGAGACGGAATATTAAGGGGAAAAACAGTTTATAATAAGCTCTGGTCTTCCCTTCCTCAGTATTTCACGTCTTTTGTCAAGCCTCCTCCACAAAAATGAGCGCAAAGCATGAGCGAATGAGAGCAAAACATTTCCAAAGCCTGTCCTGAGGATTCATGCATTCCCTAAAATCTCGATTAATAGCCGCTTGCTGAGCTTCAGGACGGTCCTGCTGAGGAACTGAGGTTTATGTGCAATGCTTACATATTGTTAAGCCAGGAACTCTGACATGATGGATAACCAGAGAGAGATTTTCCCTCTGCAAGCCACGTTTTGCATGCAATATTGCATCTACCGACGCTACATTAACAGTCTTCAGTGGGTATTTTTCATTCCAGATGATGCACTGCATTACTGTATTATGCACAGTCTGAAGTACGCGCAGCTTTCTCTGATTTATGAGTTTGGCTTAAGCACACGTAGAGTTTTAGCAACAGGTGCATCAGATCAGGCATCAGCCGCATCTGCTTACACTAACATTTACAATAGAGGAACATGGAGCATTGATATATTTATTAATAGAGCACGATTACAGGAGGCCTCCAGCAACATGGGGAATTCAGCAGAATTGGCAGCTCTAATCAAAGAAATCTGTTCAATGTGTACACAATGTCATTTGTGCTTCATCTAAAACTCCACATCTATGATCCTCCTAGTCTATGCTGACATTATCTTCAGAACACTCTAACGACTAATGCACAGACGGCTGCTTCTCACTCAGGGCTGCTGGACATGCTAATGAGGGACAGATGGACACAAGTGGGCGGGGCTTTCCCCCTCTGATGACACGTACTAAGAGAGAATGTCATCATGTTCACCATTAGAGGCTGGAGATATTCACACTCTGTTGTTGTGTGTAAACCCCTTATCAAAGTGAGTTTTGTATAGTAGATCCCCTTTAAATGATATGAAAGATTAAAAAGATAAAGGCTGATTAATCCGCAGTGGAAAGCAGAACTCATAGACTGAGTGTCCCGCACGCTACACGTCTTTAGGGAAGCTCAGCATGAACAGACCACCCAGAATCTGCTGAATTCCCCCAGCGCCCCAATCCTCAATCCTCAATCCTTCACGCTGTTTTCCTGCTGAATCTGATTGAATCTGTGAGCCGCTCTGAAATGTGCTGAAGGTCTCAGGAGGAGAAGTTCAGAGCCCCTTCTGTCAGACGTGTGTACTTGCTCTGGCAGCGTGACTGTTGGGGATATTTATATTTAGCATTGCAGAATCAAAACAGGCTATGTGTTATTCACTCATTCATTTCCTGTTACCACAAGAAAATACCTTTGACAACATTATTAAGTGGAAAAAATAGCCTATAGTAGGCAGGCCTGTGTGTGGCTGTGATGTATTTGTGTTATTTGTGCTCTGTTTGTGTGTTTTTCCCTCTCTCTCTCTCTCGCTCTGTTCTCCCATATCTGCTTTCATTATTCTCAGCTTCCGTTCATTGGTCTATTCAGCTGTCAGTCATTTCCTCCCCGGTTACGTCACTTTTACGTCACATCCAAAAAGCAAAGACCACCCGTCATAGAAGCACGCGCCAGACCACTCCCTAGCCCCCATAGATATATACATTAGATGTCGCCTGGCCTATTGTTGTCTATTGGAAGGAATGCGTCTTTAGCCGCCATCTTGGTACAGGGTAGCGCTCCTTTGAAATGAATGCGGGACCAAGGTACAGTGGAGGACTGTGGCCATCCAAAGCCAGAGATATACACATCTACACATATATCTATGATCGGGAGTTTTCCTGGATGTTAGTATGCAATTTTTTTTCTAATTACGAAAACTATAATTTTACATCGCTTTTCTACATTGATGGATCAGTGACCGCACGGGCATTCCTGACAAAAAGCTTGTGTTTGTGTGTACAGAAATGTATTATTCACCCTCCCTGTTAAATTTGATCTAATCATGTCCTGAAACACAGCTCTTCTCCTGCTTTCACTGCTCATACTGACGGAGGGAGCGATTCGTTTGTGAATGAATCCCCCGAGCGACTCTTTCACTAACGTTAGCCGACAATAATACAAGTTTCTGGCAGTGCAGCATCTCGTTGTCATATTTCTTTTGCATTGTTTGCTGATTTTATTCAACAAAACTAGCATAAGCCGAGTGTTTAGTGTGAGTTGGTGCTGCTTTGCCTTATGGGTAATGCAGTATGTGACACCCAGTAATTAGCACAAAAGTTCAGAACATACAAAAACAGAAAAAAACGTAATCTTACCTATGAAATGTTCTGCCTTTGTGCTTTGTTTTCTTTGTTTGCTCGTTACTACACTCATAGACAGCGCTAAAGTCCCGCATCTTCACGTAATAACACTGTCTTGACTAGTGCAGTTGAATGACATTTGTCCTGGGAGCACTGTACCAATGTGGCGGCGCTACTGACGCATGCTCAGGGTCCCTATGCGATATCTAGTGTATATAGCTAGCCCCTCTCTTTTCTCTGCTTTTTCCGCTTGTTTGTTTATTGCGTTGCGTTTAGAAATAACCCGTCTAACTGTGTATTTTGTTGTTGCTCGTTTCTGTGTTTACTATATCCGTCCTTTATTCGTATATCCTTCTCAGTTTACGTTGTTTACGAGGCTTGGACGAAGCGGACCGGTAAGACGGACACGTGACATACATTTTGCAACACATAGGTCTACTCTGCTGTTTAGTACATTAGGTTAGGGGCGAGCGCCACCCCTTGTACTTTTTGGACAGATAGATAGATAGACAGTCAGGACTCGGAAGAATCTTTGCGTGTTAATTAGATTGTTTTCACATAGTTAGTTAGTTAGATGCTTCTGTGAAGTTAGATTTATTTTGGGTTTTGTTCTTTTCATTTCTTTAGCTCCGCCGGCGTCCCTTCTGCCAGCTCTCTGTTTTTTTTCTTTCTCTGTCTTTGTATTCGTCTCAGTGTTGTATATATTGCATATAGTATATTTTTCAGCATTGCATCATCGTGAATGAGTCGGCCTATCTGGTCTCGGAATATAAAAAAAAAAACAAGTCTTTATTGGTTTTTGTTTTCTGGTGATTTTATTTTTTGTTTTTCGGCTAATTTTTTCTAAAATGAAAATCCAATGACCAAAAGATACACTGGCCATGAAGTCTATGGTCCAATCCATATCCGTTTTCAAACAAAAAAAGGAAGAGAAAGAGTTTTGGCTTGATTTTCGTTTTTTTATTTTCGGGAAAATGGATAAACGACTTCAATATTCATTATACACATGTAGGCGGTGCTAAAACGCCCATTTACCTCTGATTGGTCAACCAAATCTGAGCTCCTGACGTAGCCCTCAATATAAAAGCCCTCTGTGGAACAGCTTTTAATTATTATTATTTCATTATACTGTATATAAACTAAGTTTACATATTCTGTCAGTTGATCAGTTATCAGTAGGCCCACACGGAATCTGCGCGCACAGAATTGTGCAGATTTTTCGCAGATTTCTGCAGATTTCCGCGTATTTCTAGCCCATCATTAATTCTGATTATTTACTTCAGTAAATGTGTGTCAATCTATATTTATTCAGTTTTTTAATTAGTTACAGTAATATTACTGACTAATATGAAGATGTGCATCTGATTTATGCACAATGCAGATTGTACAGTAATATTTTTCTGTATTTTAGTAGATATATTATATGAGAGACTTGTTTTGTTTACCAAATAAAGTGCATCTAATTGGATTTGCAATTTAAACAATTAATAAAAGTTAAAAAGCTATTACTTTTTATTTCACATATTAAGGTTTTAGTTATGAAACTCCCAAAATAATTACGCAGAAATCCGCAGATTTTTACCAAAACTATCAGCAGAAATTGCAAAAAAATGTCCGCAGATTCCGTCTGGCCCTGGTTATCAGGCTGACATTCATTGTGTATGCATAAATGAAAAAAAAATGTAAATTAGCAGTATTATTAGACATTTAAACAAGGTCCATTCGCTGCCAAACGTAAAAATAATAATGCTAATAATAATAATAATAATAATAATAATAATAATATAAGCTTATAGTTCGCTACCAAACATCTTGTTGCTGTGCACCTGATGCTGAGCAAAGACAACCATTTCTGACCAGCACCAGGTTTGAATGATTTTTTCCGGAGCAAGGCCTATATAATAATATTGATATATATTATATTATATATTTTGTGTGTGTGTGTGTGTGTGTGTGTGTGTGTGTGTGTGTGTGTGTGTGTGTGTGTGTGTGTGTGTGTGTGTGTGTGTGTGTGTGCGTGTGCGTGTGTGTGTGCGTGTGCGTGTGCGTGTGTGTGTGTGCGTGTGTGTGTATATATATATACATACATACACGCATAAAAATGCTAGATTTTTTTATAGGCCTTGCCCATGGCAATATTTGGATTATTGTGGAATATTTTAAATGAGTGGGTTTAAATAAAATACAGTAGGGTCAGTGGCTGTGCACGGGCAACTTCTCCAGGTAGCCAACTCATTTAAGAGCCAAACTAAAAGAAGGTTAAGGGCAATAAACATATACAGTGTGGTCAGCCACAATGCCCATTTCTCATGTGCATACCTTAAATTAAAAAAACTAAAATCAAGCCAAAACCTTTTTTTTTCTTAATTCTCCTTTTTTTGTTTGAAAACGGATATGGATTAGACAGAAGATACCCTGATTGAAATGGGACCAAGAGAT